CTTTTTTTTCAGTCTACTAGTTCACCAGAATCGCTTAAGACAGTTTTTTTTGTATTTGACCTCATTTGATACTCTCCAGTAAAGGCTTGTTCCTGAAAAGTCACCTGTCTGACTATCTATTYCCTTGTCAGTTTGAACCAGTTCTTAATACATTTACTGAGACAAAACTGTGACCTGCACAATGTTAGGATCTGTCCCTTCCAGTTGTTGGGAAACAGTATCCTGACCTGCAGCTGCTGGGCCGAAAAGAGCAGCAGAAACTTGTGGGACAGCTGGACGAGTGAGACCACTGTTGAAATGACAAGGCTTCATAAAGCTATTTACTAATGTGTGAACGAGAGACCTTTCACTAACTGTTGCCTGTTTTGTTTTCGTCGCAGGGGGACACGGGGGAGACTGGACTTCCAGGAAACCCAGGACATGAGGTACGACACAGGACAACAATCTTGACTCTTTTGGTTAAGCCTTTTATCAGATCTCTTTCTAACCAAGCCAGATTCAATAAACTACACCAACGTAGACAACAGCAACATWTTAACTCAACAGGAGCCTGGTCAGTGCAATGTAGACTGTGCTGCTACAGAGATAGATGTTTCATTTCCAAGCACTGGCATCTCAGGCTTGGCCTTTTGCCCCGCTGGACATAGTTGGCGGTCATCCTGGTTGGAGGCCAGTAAGGAATCATGTCCTTGTCACTGCAGTAGCTACTTCTACTAGATGTTTGAGCTGTTTGTGAAAGAAGGAGCTGGGGTCAAAGCATAAACAGGATTAGGCTTGCCGTGTCGATAAAGCATTCTGTTGCTGTGAGGAACAAATGACTTACATACATTCTAGGGATGGTTTGGAACACTTTATAAGTGGAGAGTAAATGACACTGTAGTTAAAGTTTTTAAGTTTTCTCTTTGACATTTTGAATTCAAAGTTGTTAATTTTCAAGATTTTTGAGCTTTTCTATTTCTATTTTTTTCTGTTTTTTAATTTAGTCTTGTTTTAAACTAAACATCTTTTTATGTTATAAATCAGTGGTACTGTATATCTTCTTTTAAGCTTTTTAGCATGATGTCAGTTTGTTTTTAACTTTTTTGTCTGATTCATAAACAAAGTTGATGTGCCATAGTTTTAAGTGTAAAACAGCTTTAGCTTTCTTTTTCATTTCTACACACCTACAAAAGTTGAACTGAAGCAAGTCAAAAGTTAGGAAATCAGGTCTAGAATTTAGTGTTTATTTCTAATGAAATTTATAGGGGTGCAACAATACATGTATCTTTATCGAATCATTCAATACAGTGCTTTAGGTTCAGTACACACTATGTATCAAACAATACAGAATTTTAAGATAAATTTTATCAACTTGTCTTCTGAAGATGCTCTGTGTTGAAGGATCAGTGGATCTGTGTTKGACTACTCCACCTAGGCTGCATTGTCGAGCGCAGATCCACTGAGAAACTTGCTGTTTCAGCAACATTTATTTAAAAACTGTACCTTTGAAGTTAAACAAATGTTCATAATAAATTTCAATAAATTCCAAGTAAATAAGGGCATGGAAATTTCTCTTTTTTTAATCGAAAAAAATAACGAACCATGAGACTAAARTATCAAACCAAACCAAATCGTGGATTTTCTGTGTAGTTGCACTCCTATTAATTTGTAACTAAAGTTGTAATCAATGAAAACAATCACACGTTTGTTTTATGGCTGGAAGTTATGACGCATATTTTTAATTTAAAAAAACCTCAACATTATGTCTGCATGTCCTCTTTACAAAACGGGGTGCAGCTGCTCCACTTGCTCCATTATAGGTTCCGTGTTGTTTTCTGCAAATTTAGGTTGTTTTCATAGAATTATTAGGAATGGAATTGTAAAGAGGAAGTACACAAAAACACATACAGCTTATACAGTAGATCTTTTTTTTATTCATTATTTTTATTGAAGACTGTGTAGARCTGAGTGGAGGAAACATCCACAGTGGCAGGGAATTGGATTATTCCTGGAAGATGGTTTAATCCTGGATCTGTTTCCACTGAAGACACTGAGCTTACTGTGGGGTGACTTGTTTGCTCACAAARCTTGATATGTTGAATATGAAATAACTTTTAATGGTGTGTGGCTCTGTGCATTTGTGCTCCCTCAGATTAGCTTCAGAAGCCAAGGGGGGGAAAAGGCTGTCTTGTTATGCAACCGTGCAKACGTTGGCTTCAACAAAAGCAGCAGCAGCCGTACTTTTAATACTGATACTAATTTGCAGTACCATGCTGAGCCGTGCTTTGTGTGTGTGCTCAATTTTTTGTCATTAAAGGTTGTTTTGTTTTTAGAGAGAATCTTTTAAACCTTTTCTTTTAAAATGAAGTTAAATTGTGCATACATGTGTGTATGCTAGTGATGTATATTTGGCTTTTTTTGGTTGCTGTTATGCAAACACTTTCCAGCAGCTGTTGGGATTATATGAGTGATGAAGTGGTTGTTCTAGACACTGTAAAACAGCAGCTCACTTAAGCTTTACAGGCCGGCTGAGGTCAGTAAAGTATATAGGTTACATTTTATTAACAGTACCAGCAAGTTCCAAGACATCTCCCACAACGTTTGGTGTGGAATAAAGCTCCAGCAGCGAATTAATAAACAAAATTTGATTGATTGTTTTTGTAC